TATATATATGGCTTGATTCATCAGGTACAGCCAAAAAGTCCCCAGTGTGCAATAAAGAGATAAAATGGATTAAAGAGCTCTCAGTGGAACAGACTTGGTTTGAATGCTGGGTTTTCATCTGTCTGTTTGCTCAAGGGCATGTACTACACGACCAAAGAACAAAACCCTCTCACACTCTTCCCTGAGGCCTTGTCCAACCCTGACTCACAAGCTGTTCCATCCTAGTCACTGCCTGATTGATTCACTTGGAACTGTTGCATAAGCAGCCGCACAACACATTAAAATGTTACTATAGGTCTTGACAAAATACTGAAATGGGTGAAGGGCCCAGGCCAGTAAAAAGTAAAAGCACATCAAACAGGCTAATGGTTTTACATAACCCAGCAGCTTGGACTTCTCATGTCTGTAGAAAACGCAACACAGAGAAACATCCTCCAGAGTTCACGTGTGGAAGGCCAGCTGATGTACGTGCTTTGAATCTCATGATGCCCCCCTTCCTCCTTTCTCTTTACCCAAGGGTCTTTCCTTGGATGCTTTTCTAAAAATGTCTCAAACCACATCTTTATCTCAAAGGAAAGGTGAGAGGTCACATCGGTAAAGAGAAGGACGCAGGCATGACTCTGAAGACATATAGGGGTGGAATGTGTGTGGCTGAGAGAGGATGAGTTACTAAACCTCAGCCTGAACTTATATTAGGAATCATAAGTGAGGGCGATCTTGGGGCTGTTCCCTCAAACTCTGCAGTCGTCCAATTCCAGGCAGCCATCAGTGACTCCCTCAGACCAAAGTCCCCCTTCCACACAGCTGCTTCTAAGCTCCATGCAGCTGGTCTTCTTACCATGGTGACTGTGACCTATTTGTCTTCAAACCCCCATCCATCACGTGGTGCTTCCCTCTCCTCAGTCTGGTCCATCTCATCAGTTTCCTGGCTCTCTCTACCTCAGCCCCTCCTCCTTCTGGAAGATATAATCTACTCCAAGGGTCTGTTCTTACCTTCGTGAGGTCTTTCAACATCACTGACTCAGCAAAGCTAGTTCTGCTAACCTGAAAGCTGGACCCTCCTTTGGTACCGTCCACACTCTCCTCAACTTCATTTAGTACTGTGGGATTCATTCTAATATGTTGACCATTATCCACATTTTTCTCCTTTACTAAGTTCCCCAAAGGCAAAGGCACTCATAAGCTGCACGCAGCTCTGCCCTGCAACATGTAGGAACATGGTGGGCATTTACAATGCAACGGCAGAATTTCGCATGAAAGAAAAAGTGGGCCACATATGTCAGTCTCTAGAGTTGAGAGTACCTGCACATATTCAGGAATCACCTACACCAGAGGGCAGACAGAAGACTGGTGTCTACTTCTGCCTCAGCGGATGGAAGAAAATCAACCTTACCTTTAGTGAGCTCACATAGTAAAATC